GAAACTTAATAATGTACAAACTTCATAAATTGATAAGATATAACATGAAAAGAAAAGTGAAAATATTTAATGATTAAGTTAAATTTCCTCCTCCATTTCCTTTCTTCAACTGTTACTTATTTTGGCCAGCAGCAGTGACAAAAGCTTAAGATTTATTCTATTTGGCAACAGAGCAAGGAATTTGGCTCCAGGTAAAAGTACAAAGGACATCAACAACAAAGCAGAAAAGACATTTTTACTTCTTTCCCCATCTCTTCTGCTATTCAGACATTTTTGGGCCTTCATCTTTTTGTGACCAACCAGACTGCAGCCCTCAACACAAATACAACTCAACTGATCCAAACAGTTGCTCTCTAAATCATACAACACATATATAATAAGCATAAGCTGTTGCTTCTGAGAAAATGTCTTTTCAGATTATATGTTCAATATAGATTATACATGTAGACATACCTCATAATAAGAAATGAGCAATGGAAACAATCCCAAACGTTCAAGAGTTGTCTCCAATATTATTGTTTTTACTCCGACTCTCAAATGACCTTTTTAGGCAAATAAAACAATGATTAACAAGAAAATCTCAGAGACTTGATCTTGTGTAGATGACCCACACATGTGGCTATGTACTGAGTTGAGTAAGTGTCAATAACATTTGTTAAATAAGGTCTTTATTGAAATTTCTAATATCAAATTATAATTAAACATGATAAAAAAAATGAATTCGACTTTTTTGTCACTTGTTTTATTTTGATTTTTTGATCATTTTAAGTGTGAGGTGATGGAAAGAAAGAAAATTAGACCAACAAAGAGTGCGGAGGAAAAAACAGTAATAATAATAGACAAAATGAAGACTCAACAGAATTTATATATATTCCTCACTAATATTCATTCAGTAAAATCATCAACAAAAATCCAAAGAAATTAGAAATTGTTGCTCAATAAATAAGTAATAAAAATTATTTCAAATTTTCCCATGAGAAGTTTTGTATTTTCTCTACTTTGACCAAATATATTATTTTAATCTATTTCTTATTCTTTAAAAAATATTTAGTCTATCTTTAATCCATATAAGATTTTAAAACAAAAGTTTGATTTTTGGAAAAGTGGTCTCTTTATACACTTTTAATTGACATTCTGAGAGCAGACATGCAATAATATACAATTTATGTAAAAAAAACAAAAAACTTTAAAACTGTCTGATATCCTTGATGAAAGACATTTGTTGTTAAGGAAAAACTGTCAAATGTGAATATCACAGATTTAAACCTGGCTTTAAAACAATACATAAACCCCCTTTTAATGGCTACTTTAAAGTCAAAAGCTTCACTTTGAGTATAAATATAACTCACAACAGGGCACTATGGAACCTTCAATCCGCTATTCAATTACCAAGCTATACAAATTGAATCACTGATTAAGTAGTTGACCAATAGATGAAAAAGCTGACTTTGAATCTAAAAACTCCTTTGTTTCAAGAAAGTGTTTGATAACTCTAAAATCTTCCGACAGTGCAGCTTTCTATTTAATAAACTATCAAATACAGTTTATTTGGAAGTGACTTTTACTCAAAAGAGGGAATATTAATAATGTAATTATTGAAACATAATGTAATGAAGCCATGTAAAGTAGAAGGTGAGTAAAATATTTTAAAACGAGACTTACAATACAGAGAATACTAAATGATCCAAATGTTGTGTAATCAGAGAAAGATTTGCCTGTAATGAGATTCTGAACAAACACAACCAGTCAGAAAAGACAAAGAAAGTATTTGGCATTACACTAAGACACAAATATATATTTGCCAACTTTTATTTTTAAAGATTTATTTATAAAACTGAAAATGAAATAAAAATAATTTATTATCCTAGGACTTTAGGATTTTTCAACATAAAAAAACTGACTGTAGTTGGCAGAAGAAAAATTTGCCCAAAGTCTATATTTCCATCTATTGCTTAATTCTATTCATAATACTTAAAAAGGAAGGTCTTTTTACAAATGATGTTTAACAACATTCTAGATTATCTATAGTTATTCAAGATATTTAACTTTGCATTTTTAAACTGTAAAACTGATCCATAGGAAAGACCATCCAAACACATTCATTTTTCAAATCAGTTATCTGTCAAGAGTTTTACTTGCTAAAAAACGATTTGATGTAAGGTATTCAAAACAACAGAAATTTCAACAAAGAAATTTTTTTCTTGCATTTTGCTATTTAAGTGTTTCAAGTCTTAAATTTTAACAATAATTACCAAGTTAGATCTCAAGACAATTACTAAATCTTCTAGAATCTGCATTAGATTTATTTATTAATGTTATTGTTATTTAGTAAAAAGTTTTGACTAATATTTTCTTTATATTTCCTGCTGCATAAATGAATTTAAAAGAAATAAATATTAAGAATATAAATAAAATCATAAAAAAGAATGTATAAAAACAGAATGGAAACTTAGCAGACAAATGAATTAAAAAAAGACAAATTATTAAAAAAAATTCTCACCGTTTAAAAATCCAGTCTCTTTCAAGTGAAAAATAATAATCACTTTCCTGTCAACAACTCTGCCTTCATGTTTCTTAAACTAAGGTTACTCACTAATTATAATCGTCATATTTGCTTGAAGCTGTTTACTACTTAATTATTCATTTTTTTCTTCAAAAAGGTGGATACTTTTGTTTCAAATTTTTGTACTTAAATCTATATTTTTCTTTTTAATATAGAATTAAAAAGAAAACAAAGACAGACATCATTTTTAGAATGTTAAAGTATATTGCAATAAAGCAAGTATAAAGAAACTTATTTATATAGCAACCCAAAACCATGTGTTTTAGAGCTAAAAATTAGTTAAACTATCACTTATGATTTTTTTATATATATATATATATATATATATATCATAATTGCATTTTATATTTTAATAAACTTGAAGAGAAAACAACAGATATTAGTAAATATAATGGAAAAATAATAATAGAGCCCAATTGTATAATACAAATGTAATAAAGTAACGCAATAAAACTCAGTAATATATACCAAATTTATTTAGTTTACTACTGCTAGACTGAGTATGGATGGCAAATGATAGTTTAACCTGGTCTTAAATCAGTCCTTTTAATTGACAACATATGGAAGTCTGAAATGGTTCTCTTTTTCACACACTCAGCAGAATATGCATAACAAGTAAGGAAATAAAAACTGGGCTTTCAACATAGACTATAAGTAGGACAATTAGGAGAGTAGGATAACATGCCTTAATAGACTAGCATTACATTTGTAATGACATATTATTATAGATATTATAGAAGTATAACATAATGCAGGTTAAAGCTGTCATTGATGTTGTATACTGATAAAAGCCAAGGCGATCAAAAAAAGAAATCATCCCAAAACACTGTTCATTATATTTTATTTTATTTTTAAATTGACTTCTCTCAACATGGCTGAACAGATATACAGGGGAAATAAGCCAGAAGAGAGTTTGAATTTGATGCTAGTTTGTTGCAATTCTATTGAGGTATTTTTGGCAAAATAAGGAGGAAAAGATTAAAGTGAATTGCTTCTTTATCTCAAAAGATGCTTGCCTGGAATCCCTATTTTTCTCAAAGATTAAAAGGATGCAAAAGAATGATGACTGCTAAAGAATGTAAAGATTTGGTTTGATGTATTTCAAGATAAAACAGCACAATGAAGAAAACATTAAAATAATTCTAATGTTTCCACAAATAGTAACAAATGAAACAACTTTTTCTTTTTTGTGTATTAAACTTCAAAAAATAAACATTAAATGTAGAGAAATTTATACAAATATTTCATGCATATCTTCCTTTAAAACACAAAATTTGGTTTCAGGGTTGTGGATTGCTTTTTGTAAAAGTATTTTGAACTCTTGGTAGTTATTTCTTCATCTTAACTACTGTAGATGATTATTAAGGTGAATAGCTTTTTCCCCTAGGTCAGAAACCATTTATATTTCAGTTACATATGGTAATGAGACACACAAACTCAGCACCAGGGATGGAACTACTGATTTTGGGCAACCATTCCTATGAAATAGCACAGAACTACAATAAGTGCATATGCATTTGGCAAATGTTCAATACGTACATCTTTTTATCCCCCCCCTTCAAATTTTGAGAGAAACATCAAAATGTTTTTAGATTTGGTACTTTTTTTTTGAGAATCAAGACGTTGATAGATGGAGAAATAATGTGATTCACCAGCACATTAAATATGTTGGGCCTATGTAGTGCTAAGTTTCATCTATTTTCTTTTTTTGCTTTAAGAAAGTTATGACTAACTGGACAAGTAATTTCTTTTTTGTTATTTTACAAATTGACAAGCCAAAGAAAAAGATGTTCTCTTCACCACTAATGCCACTAGAAATATGAATGAGACAAGTGAGATGAGAATAAAAGAATTTGAGTTTAAAGCAATCTCCCATTCTAGATGCAGGGAACAATAATTAAAAATATATGACAGGTAAAAAAATAAACGCTCCTTCAAACTTGTCCAGTCAGTATTTAATTACTCTTTGCAAACCGAGGATAGACATTCAGGTAACTAATGCTGTAGAGCAAGCTACACCTCATTTCAATAACAGTTAAGCAAGCATGACAAGACAAGAGCCAAAGATGGAATGTGGGGTCAATTGAATATGGGGTCATTCACTCAAAAAGAAATGAGAAACTTTCAAAGTTCAAAGACCACCAGAAGATAACTACTTTGCATTGTGCTTGCACAACTTCCAATCATGTCTCCTCAAGTGTTAGTTGTACTGTGTCTTGTGCTACAGTCTGGTATACAGAACCACAAATAACACAATCTCTCCATGACCCTCAACAATAACAAAAAATAAATAAAGACAGAAAAATATCCTTCCTGTGTATGAAACACAGCTTCTCTGTGTGGAAAAGTAGCAGTCTGTATACAAGTACAAATTCAATACTTCAACAACAAGAACAATGACAGCAACAACAACAAACTACTTCGTCGCTGGAGCAGATTATTTCAAATCTAAAGAGTTTAATGAATTGTCGTTGTGAAGAGCACTTATGGTATGGGACGCTTGCCGGCTGCACTTCTTGGCTAAATCATCGTAGGTTCCTCCATGCAAGAAACACACCAGCACCACTGTCATGTTGTCACATCCCAGTCCACCCATATTACAATCTGGGGCGAGACAAGCTGTCATCAATTCCTCACAAATCTGCAAATACAAATTATAAAGTGAAAACAAAAAAAATGATTGCAGTTCAATTTATTTTTATTCTTACTTGTTTCTACATTTCATGTAGGCTTTTTAAAATTAATGTTGGATGACAATTTTTTAAAACTGAAATATTTTTTCTTTTAAATTTTGAATCCAGAAGCAATTTTTTTTTTAAGTCAGAGACTGAAAAGCATCCAGATGTTATTCATGTTACTCATAATATATATGATTATATATCATGATACAGCCTCATAGTTTAAATGATGAGATTCTTAAATATTTCATAATGACCATCACAAAAGAATCAAATAATTTTTTCTACTCTTAGTTAATCTTTTGCTATATGCCTTAAAAAGATAATTAACAAAGATTTCAAGAGAGGTGAACAAAATTAATTTGCATAAGATATTTTTAAAAACTTCTTGCCATTTGTTGTATGTATGTATATATATAGACACACTTCTATAGTTTATAAATTTATTAAGAGGTTAAAATGTTCATTTAGATATATTTTCTTAAAATCCAATAAGCTAAGAAAAAAAAAAATCCACATGCAAATAAAAAATGGTAAACATAAATCATAGAAAGATTTTTCAGAAACAATAAAGAGAAACTTAAAATTGTTTATATCACAATAAAAAATAGAAGTATAACTATCCAATATCTATACAAGTTAAAAATGTATTTATTTACTTTCAGTAATGTTTTTATGAAAAAATGCTTTTTCATCCTAGCAAATATGTAATCAACAAGACTGTTCTTTCTATTTTTTAATACTGATTAAAATGTGGATATGTATTTTTTTTTATATATTCCTACTCTACAATCTATATCCTACAGTTGCATATCAAAAAGTAATCAAATATTTTTTTTTTTCAAATAGAGAACATTCTTTTTTTTAAATACAACTTACTGTTTCTGGTTGCATCTTCTGAGCAATACGAGCTCGTATAAATTTCACAACATCTTCATTTTCCAAGACATCCCAGATTCCATCACAGGCTAATATCACAAATTCATAGTCAGGGTTGATCTCTTTTTCCACTACATCTGGGAATGCTGTAATAAGAACAATAAAACTATCAGCAAAAAGCCTCTCCTCCTCTCAACAATTAAAAAAAAAAAAAAAAATATTTTAAGAATGAATGTTTTAAATGCACCAAATAACAGCTCTGGTATTTGAAATATTTTTCTTGGGCTATTAGATTCTCAACTGGAGTAAAATCTCATTTCATTCTTAATTTAATTCTGATATTACCATAAAGTACATCCAGCTGAATTCTAAAATACTCATTCTAACAAAGTACAGAGGATTACTTTAAAAAAGTTTAATTAATATATGAACAATTTAACCATGTTTTAATAAATAGAAATCCTTAGCAACAAGACTGAAAGATTTCCATCCACTTTGTCCTTGGGAAAAGCATGAATCCACTTTTCACTGGCTATGGGCATTGGGCTAACATCTCAGAACAAGGTAGAAATTTGTCTGCTACCAAAATTGATCTGATTGTGGCATGATGCTCCACAAGAATTATGCAAGAATAAACAACAAAACAAGTATCAAATATAAAAAGCAAAACTGATTGATTTTTAAAAAATCAATGTATTTAAGAAATGTTTTGAAGTAGAACTTAAATAGAAATCAATCATAAACGTAAATTATGCTGTTGGGATCATTTATTGTCTTACATTTGGTTTTAATGAATATTAGAATTAACTGGAATAAGTTTTAGAAAACATTCAGGTAAAGAATTCTTCTTCCTAACAGTTAATCAATTACTTGTAATATCATTTTCTAAAGTATTTACAAAATAAAAAAAAAAGGATTCATTTTTGTACAGATTGAAGTCAGACACTTTCTTCCATAACCATTATTTCAATACAACTTGAAGCTTCTTCATCCTAATACACAGCAGAGTTAAGTTTTCACTGGGTTGATTTGTTTGACAGACCAGACCTTTTTCTGATTGCAATCCTTGATACATTGGAAATTAATAGGGGTCCCAATTCATTTCAGAATACTATGTAATAAACAGCTGACAGCGTTAAGGAAAAGGCTGCAATGATAGAGTACTGTTGATAGGAAACCACCAAAATAATGATTAGAGCCTCAAAGTTCAAAATGTAACAGAGTTACTGGTGTAGATTTTACCAATAAGTGAATTTATATCTGATCACCAGGTGGAATTGGAATTAACTTGATAAGTTGAAGAGAAAAGCATAGATAATTAAGATAGGTAAGTTAGACTTTACTAGCATACCAAAACTATAGTGGAGGCCTGGTTTTTCAGTGGGGTGTTAGGGAAACAAAAATAGTTACAATAAATTAATTAGCATTTGAAAATGTCTGAGTTTGAACTCATGACTGAACAGGGTTTTTTTTCTATTAATATCAGGTGAAATGAGAAGCACCCACCCATCATCTCCACTCACTGCTAGAAAAATGACAATTGAGAAACCATGCTAGGTTGAATCTTGGCCAAAATTCAGTAAAGGAATTTTATTTTTTTAAACTATCCCTCAATTCTTCCTGGTTTGTCTGTGAAAGAAAAAATTTGGTACATGATCCAGAAGATGAAGTCACCAAACCCTTTCCTCTGATTTTGTTACTATGCGAATAAACTTGCAGTTCAAAACTTGAAAGAAATGTGTTCCCATAAATACAAGGACTCACTGATAGTCATAAGAGTCATCCACAGGTATTCAAGTATGAAATTAGCAGAGTCAAGTAATTGAAATCATCACCCACTCTTTACTACCTACTCCAACACTCCTTACAAGATATTTCCAAGAAGAATTTAGTCAGTTGACAAAACTTTCCCTAACCTATGAAGTTTTCCTTCACAGACTGATGATCAAGTGGAAGAGCTGGAAACTAGGTTTTATATTTAAAGGCCATGACTAAAGTTCCCTGATAAAAATGTTAAACCAACTACCAGTCACCAATCTACAACATTGCTCTTATTGTTACAAAATGTGAATAAAGCTGATATCTACTAACACACAAACTAAATATAGTTAGGTAGACCACAGTACCACAGAATTGGGAAAAAGGGCTAAAGTAATCATTGTAACCCTTAAAAAATGCACTATATTATTGTTTCTACACAAAAGTTGGTTGTTATCTGTAAGTCACACTTTTTTATTTAAACCAACCCCCTTAACACCAGAGGAAGTTTCAACCAGCTTTACCTTACAACTTCCTCAAATCAAAAACAAACACATGAATGGTAGAAGATCAACTGACAGAGTGATATATCCAGGCAGTAAGAAGTGTTGAATTATAGAAAGAGCTGGGCAAAAGACCTAATTAGGAAAATTTTTGGTAAAGTTCACTATCTTTTTATAAACTCAAAGATAACCTGAATTATTTAGGATAAACTTGGACATAAATGGTATCCACTTAAAATATATTAAAGTTTTATCTGAAAAGAGACCTTTCTACAATTACAGATTTAATCATGTATATGTACATATTGTTTACATTATGTTGGCAATACCATTTTTTACATTACTTTTTATAAAAATAAAAATATAACAATGCCAAATTCAAATCAGTGTTCAGAATAAAACTTGCATTTCACTATAATAACAAACTAAAAGTACATCTGTAAAATTAGTACTTAAGAAATTTATGTATTTTTTCTATTCTTAATTCATATACTGGTGTTTCTTTGCAAAAATACAAACACATGAATACAGCTCATAAAAACCTGTAACCTTTATTTCATACTAAAACTAGCAGAGCTAACCACTTCTACTAGAGTAATAAAAGTTTTCAATCTTTTGCTGTACATATAGGGTCATCTCATTTTCCAGTATCCAGTTTCCAGTGAGCTGAAAGGTGAGGGAGGGGAGTAGGTTGTTGATTCTGCTTACACATTCATTATATCTTGTCTCTAATAAACTGTTTTATAAAAAAAAAAATGGGAGGGGGTTTCAAGCAAGAAAATTTAAAACATAACTCAGGTTGAATTTTCAAAAAAAGTTTTTTAAATATTTAAAAAAAAAAAAAGCTTTCAGTAAAATAATAATTAAACTGATTATAAATGAAGTATATGTCTATACAAAGTTCAAACAAAAGGGAAAATATTGAGTCATATATAATTTCCATTTTTGTTTATCAATTTTATTTTCCAAAATATTACAACTGGTTTCCAAAAACAGAAATTAATTATCACTTAACTTTATATTTTTCATTTTCAATTTTAGTAAAACTGGCTTTACACATTCCAAGTCTTTTCTTTTCAGCTCTCACTCTCTCTCACTCTTTATTTCCCTGAAACTGCATCTGATATTTTGTGGTAATTATATTTGTTTTTTATTTTAATAGTCAGTTATATAGAAAAGGTTGTAATGAACTGTTTTCTGTACAAATGTACATCAATTGTTTCCATATAACATATATACATCCAACTGATATGGTAACAAAAATATTTGGTTACTTGAACCATAACACCTGTCTTCCATTATGTGTAACTCACAATTTCAACTGATGTCACTCAACAGCTGACTATTTATATACCTTGGCTCTCAACCAAACACAAGTAATGTTACAGTAACAGTGAAAATAGTCTTTTGACAGACTTAGATATTTTTTCATTTCACCATAGACACCAAAAACATGCATATTCATTGCCAGTAAATGTTCCAAAGTTTTGATTTGAATAGAGAAAAGAAAGAAAATCCCAAAGGCAAGGAACAATAACTTTCAGGAAATGTTCCAATCCAAAAAAGAATCTATTTTCACTTCTAATATTTTAGCATTAAAGAGACATTAGCAATACAACTACATTCAGCAATGTGAAGGATGCCAGCCAGTAAGTCTGCTTCCCTTGTCCTAAGAGAAGATCTTGATATCTTGAAAAACATGGTTGTCATTTGCTGGTCAATACAACATGAATAGATTCTGAATAATAGAATGAGAAAAGCAAAGAAAAAGAACCAAGATAAACAAAGAAAGGCTAAAGAAATGAGAGGCAGAAAATGAGAGTAGGAAGGTTGGTGGGGGGAGGGTAAAGATTTAGAGAAAGAGATTTACCTGTTACTATTTGCTCTTCAGGTTTCTTTTTATCATTTTTCTTGAACACAAAATCTCCCAAGGCTCTTGATAAAGCAAGGTTACCTGCAAGAAGGGACCAGAAAGAAATACACATATTTGAAAGAAAGTTTGCTATAAATACTTTATGATTAAATTTTCCTTATGTATATAAACAAATAAAAATCTAAGAATATCTTGATCACCAATAACACCCCACCCAAGAATTCTAAATAGAAAAAAAAATTAATTTTCAAAACAAACAATAAAATATGCATTTGTTCTTCATTGAATCTTATCAAACATGAAGTTGAGAAATTCACAAACTGATAAATCCAAGGACTTTGAAACAGAATGTAAATCATTAAATTTTTGCATAACCTAAATGAATAACAATATTCCAAAAATGAATTACTGAACAATGAAAAAAAAATACATTTTAATTCACTCAAATATGTGCATGCTTTAAAATGATCTGAGGTGCAAAAATTAATTTTTAACAAATATCTATTTTCTGTAAAAAAAACTTAGTTCCAATAAATTCTTAGCAAACATGCATACACACATATACCTGATTACTAGATACAAGGTACATATAATTATCATAATTACTAAAACTTATTGACAAAATTATATATATTATTATTTTTGTTATAGTAATTTACCCAGCTATAAATAAGAGCAGGTACTGCCCTTTATGTAGTGTAGTTTCCAGCAGTTAGCTATGACAGTTAAACTGAACATTCTTGCTGTAACATTTTGTTAATATATTTGTTTAACTCAATTCCTCTCTTTGTGTCTTTATTTCTGGCCCCTAACAGGGCCACAACAATTTTCTTAAGAATTCAATATAAAAAATGAATTTTTAAACAGTTATTTTGCCTCTTAAAACAAACTATTTTAATGACTCCATTTTTATCATAAAATGCCCTAAGTAATTAATCATTATGTAATTTATATTTATTCATATTTATAAATTTATTTAACATTCCTGTCAGATTACTTGAAAGAAAAAAAATTCAATAAGTGAACAGCAGATTGGTTTTTGGAAGAAAAAAAAATAACCACCTACATGATGACAATCAGTGAACATTGATTTGAAGTATTAAATTTAAAAAGTTACAATCTTCAATTGCGAGAAAAGGGCAAAATATATACAAGCATTTCCCTTCAGTACATAATTCCAACTCAGCCTTCTTTAAGAACATGCATTAGATATAAAGAAAGCTAATCTTTCAATTATGTCATACAGGACATGTTTTAATGCTTCATATTACAGATATTCTTTTACAAAGATCCTTTTCCATCACTATGGGATCATCAGATCTTTCAATGATTATCTAAGAAAATTATATTTAAATATTAGGAGGAAATCATTTTAAGATATGCAAATGATCCCTATTAATACAGGGAGTCACATTGGGTTTGTGTGTGTGTGTGTGTGAGTGAGAGAGAGAATGCATTCATATTCTAAATAAGATTTTACAAACCTAAAACAGCTCTTCAACATAAACTAATACGAGATTAAAATTCTTTTCAGTAAACCTAATAGCTACATACACTAAGTAGAAGGCTTATACTACATATATTTATATAACATTAAGTATCAAGCTTAATTATTCATGATTCCAAATAAAAGGTTTTATATCTTGAATTAGCATCATTATGTGTTTTTTTTATACTGCAATAATGATATAGGTAATTTTTTTTTAAATTTGGTCCCTTTTAGAATTTGAAGAATGAACCAGAAAAAGTTATTGCCTTTAAGTAGTTCTAGTGAATGTATATACATCACCCCTTTTTATATCTGAGTGGATATACAAGGTGGTGCTGATAGATCCTCAGGGTGACTATAAAGAATGACCTAGAGCCATGAAACATAAATGCTATTCCACATATTCACATTCATACAACAATTAGCACATTGTTTCTCAAGTTTCTAGCTTTCTATATGTCATGTCTCAGAATGTAGGAAATTATGACTTTCTATAACTTCTTGCTTTTGCCGCACTAAGTAACTCTGCCCCTGTACTACTCTTTACTTTTATGATCTTTGTTCTGCCATCCGTTTACTCAAACTCATCAAGCCAGTTACTTGCTATGTTCCCCTGCTTCTCTTATTTTCAATATGTCCCGAGTGTAATAAGTTCTCTGAGCCTTCTTTTCTTTATTATGTGTCAAAAACATTTTAGCTGTCTCTTTTTGATTGTTAACAGCAATTTTCTTTGTAATTCCTATTCTCCTTAAAGTTTCTTATGTCAACTTTTTTTGAAATGAAGAATTATACTAATTCAGATCAAGATGGGTCATCTAGGTGGTTATACTCACAATGTTTCAGCAGTTGTACCCTCAAGCATTCTTCAGATGTTTCATCATACTTGGTAACCATCACCACATTTTGAACATAACTCTTTATTCATACTACAATGTAGATTCTCATTCAACATTTCATCCTAAGGAGATATTTTTATCAGTTAATACTTGTCAGTTTTATTAACCTTTCTGTTCCTTCCACTGAAACAGAGTATGTGAGTTTTCAACACTACTGAACCCAAGGATTGAACTAGATATGTTTTAACCAACACTTTAATCCGTGTCTCTCGGACAATCAAGTGATGAGATTTTGGAGTTTTGAAGTTAATGTCTGTACTCAGGTGATGAAATTTTTTACAAGTGTCCTTTCTTTCTTAAACATAGGCTCCCACATGGAATTCACCTCTGAATTGTTGCAGATTCATTTTTTGAATTTATGAGAAAGAAAAAGGTTTTATATTTACTGGCCAATGAGAGATGTGCGCTTAAGCCCTTGTGAAAACCTGGATGGAGCCAGTGTGACCCTCCATTATTCAATAAAAAAGACTTCTGTTAGTGAATGCCTTCAGAAAGCAATTAATCATGGGGGGGTAGAAAGAAGTGCTGACAATTATAGGTAGATTCAACCCCAGGACAGAAAATTCCTTTCTGCGTCTTCCGAAAAAGAATTTAAACAAAACAAGCATTGAAGTTTAACTTTCCAGTAAAGGACTAGATAAAGCTCTCAATACAACAACCTGTGGAAAACACGAAACTCCTTTGTTCTAAGACATTCCTATTCAGTATTCAGTAAAGAAATTAAGTGGGTGAATTTTGGTATTTTCTGCCTCATGCAAATTTTTACTTCCTTAAAGTGTAATCTTTTTTGTCATTGAATAATCTCTTTTCCTAAACTAAACTGTAACTCCTTTTTCCTTTTTCAATGGTAATCCTTTTTTGAACTATGTGAAATTTGTTATCCTGCTGTAATAGGTGCACAAAGGGAAATTTTTGTGTAAATTTTGTATTGTACCTTTTTTTGCCTGTATTTGTGTACTAAATGTTTTTCCTTTAAAATTTTGTGCAGTGTTTGAGTCTTATTTTGTTATTTGTGCCTATTTTGTCCTCAAGAGAAGCACGTTCTTTCTCTTTCTATTCCTGCTAACTAGGTTTCATGTTTGGCACAAGAACTTAGATTTGGTGGGGAGTTAAAATTTTTTACATTTTGCACAAAAAAGACAAATGTGATCTTTGCATAATTTTTTTTTTAATTTTTATATCCAAGGGGGCTTGGTTCAGATGTCACTGAAGGTTTGAACTGTTTCTGAATACTGTCCTGATGTTGTATGAACTGCAGCTCCTCCAAATCTTTTCAGATGCACCCCTTATATGTGACACTGAGGCTGTGAGGTGGTTAAACATTAATTCAAAGCAGAAATAGGAAAAAAAGAAAACCTTTATTGGAATTAATGAAAATTGGGAAATCACCCCAAAACCCTTTGTCTCCACACCAGTTTTGGGCTGAAGTGCATACAAGCAAATGACTTTGGACTGAGATCCCACATTGATTGTGCCTCTGAAATCCATCTCAGCTGCCAACCAGATTTCCTGATTCCAAGACTTCAACCCCAGCCCTCCAGAAGTTTAGGCAAGGCCCAGTGTAACAATAAATTAATGCAGGAAGGGTTAATTTTTATTGTACCAAAAGAGCTTATATAAATCAATTGAAGATTAAGTCTATGAATCTTTCATTTTATGTTTTCTTTGTGAAGACCACTAAAACATGGTTACACCACCAGGTGTAGGCAGCGGCAAAAGGTGTTGTATATGTATAATAAACAGATCACAGATTTTTTATTATTGTCCTCATCTCTTCAATCCCTGCTTGAGGAAACTGATAGTATGTTTACAAAGTAATTGTTACATTGAAAGTTATTTCTAAGAACCAAGATGAATATACTAGTCTAAATGGAAAGGCATATAATAAAACTTGTTTCTCACATGCTCTATCCAATTCTTAACAATCATTGGTAGAACTACATCTCTGTTGCTTAAAGTCGGTTCTTCAACTATGAGGAAATTATCCAACATTCACTGCCATATAGGAGATCAGATATTACATAGCAGTCCAACATACTTTTCTATGTTTCCAAGGACACTTTTTGATCCGTTAAGACATCACTAGTTTTCAGAAAGCCATTTTTCGCTATCCCAATGTGTCACACTTTCTGTCATTGGTTACTATACTATCAAGACAATTAAATTTCTACATCTGCTTCATTTTGATATCCATGATACCTAACTCATAACCCTTGGGTTTTCTTATTTGCTGATATAACCATACATTCTGTCTTCTTACAGTTAATGGTTAATCATCTCAGTTTGTTTTCCTTTACTACCTTATCTCAGAGCTCTTTTGATTTTCTTTCTGAATAGGTCATAAACACATTGCATATGTTATCAAAATTCTGTCCTTTGATAATAAATCCTGGAAGTTTTTCTCAAGTACTGATTTTGGGAAATGTGTTAGGCTAAAAATATTTCAGCCTCATTCCATCAAATGGAGATATATACTTAATTATTATATACTCAAATGGACTGATTATCAACAAAGTCTCACCTGTTATTTAAAATCAAAGTTATCATTAAATTGTTGCAGGTAAATAAATTAATAAATAAAAAACTTATTTTTGATGACTCCTTAAATGACACAAATTTTACAAAACATTACAAAGAGGAATGAAGTCTCAGTTATTCTTTTTTTTTTATCTGGATGAATTATTAATAACAAGATTAGCAAAGTAAAAACAAGTTGAACTGCAGACCACATGATCTTTAATAATCAAACCTCTCACTTATCACAATACAAAGAAATAAAAATTAGATTAAAGCTCTTAAAGTGCATTGAAAAATAAAAAAGGCATTGTGACTTGTTTCTAAATATATAGTTGCAACTTTAATTCCAGATTAAATTTAATTTAAAACAATCTTCCAGTTTAATGTTTATGATTCTTTAGGATGATGACTACTAATCATAATAGAGAGAAGTCAAATTGCAGGCAAAACCAATGAGGAGATAAAGAGGTATTTAAAAAAGCTAAAGTTATAAACCAGTCGTACATTCTTTCAAAACCAATCAACTTATGTGGTTGAAATAAAGATGAAAAGGCTAAATCAAACATATACTAATACATAAAGAGCACCAATTATGCATGAATATAATTCAGATCATTTTTCATTTGGAAAATGTTTCCTTTTTGTATAAGAGACAATTGCCGATATTGAAAATAAGACACGAACCATTGACTCTGTTAAGTTCAACCCAACCACCTGCGGCCACTATTCTGCGTGTTTCATTATCATTGCTTGGTTTATGGTCAAATGAGAGGGCCTCAACCCGACCAGCAACACTTGCTACTGCTCTGGAGTCTCCAACATTACCCTGAAAGAAAACAAAAAAAACATTTTACATATACAAAACTACATAACTGTTGGCTATAAACATATCAATATCATTTAATGATCTCAAAAACCTCAATAGTTTAGTGATAAGTCATTCAATAATATAAAATGAAAATACAGGTCCCGAATACAGAAAATATTCACAACAGAATTGGAAAAAAGGTTCAATAAATCTATTCACTGTCAGCATTAACAAAACATGACATTGCTACATAGAAAATTTGCATTTATAACACAGAATATGTTATCAAATCTTTTCATGAATCATTGTTTAAATAATAAATTAATTTTGCGCTATCCAATGTCCCAAAACCTCTACAGAATGATATAAGCAAAAGAAAAAGTCAATTAGGTACCAAATGATATTTTCACCCAGAATCAAAAAGAGGGTCACACCATCTGATAGTAGTAAAGTATTTGTAAGGTAATCTCTTATCTCAAATGATGTGTGACAAGAGAAAGTTATGTCTGAAATCAAGTGAAAACATTCTTGCCTATTTGCATTACAAAACATGTCTTAAGAAAAAGACAGACACAAACAGGTCTTTTGTTTAGTGTTAAGGGTTTACAGTGTTTATAGAAAGGGAATAGGGATTAATGATTTTAAAGATAATCTCATGAAGTAAGTTCTTAATCTATCATCTCAAAAGATGAGTAACAAAAAAAGTAATATCTGTACTTAATAGAAAACATACTCTTGCCTATTGCATCACAAACATGGCTTAAGAAAAAGCTAGACGCAAGCAGGCCTTTTTGTCTAGAGCTAAGTGTTTACAATGTAAATAGAAATGGTTATTTCAAATGCAATGGTGTAGCTAGTGTTTTTGCTGCCCAGGGCAGCACTCAAATTTGCCCCCCCTCCCCATAAGGAATACAATATTACAATGCACATTAACCTTTTCTTATATATATATATATATATATATATATATATATATATAATATATATATATATTTATATCCATTTTTCATATTTTATCCATTTCTCAGAATCTAAGGCCCGTATGATTTCATATTTTTTCTGTGTTTCTGTTAATATGATACTCCTAGCTGATAAATCATGAAACAAAAGTACAATTGTGTTTATTTTTTTTTAAATAAAACTGGGGATATGTAAAAAAAACAAAGACGTTACTTCTTTTTTTCTAAATCAGGAAATCTTTAAAAACTTTTTACAATATTAAAAGAAAGAGAACTTGTTTTTGTTTATATACCCTTTGATTTTATTTAAAACAAAAAACATAGAAAAAAATTGTACTTTTAATTCATAATTTATCAGTTTTTTTTAACATTTATTTCAATTCTAACAAGTGAGGAGTCATAAATTAAATGCTATGTTAACAGAAACACAGTCCGTTTTTCTTTTAACAATGTAAAAAAAGTGCAATGTCTTTTTAAATTATTTTGTTTTACATAGTTAAAGCTATTATTAGCAAAGTAGTAAAGTAAGAATTAAAAGTCCAATAAAATTAATTTCACTTTTAAAAACTGAAATAAATGTTATATTACTTTTAATTCTTAGACGATTTTGCTTAATAAAATTTCAACTATCTAAACAAAAAAATAAAACACTGCATTGTTTTACTACTGTGAAAACTTGTAAATTGAAAAACTGAAAAAAATGCCCATTTTTGGACTTTAAATAAAGTTTCTTCACTTAAAAAAAATATATTAATTTTCAATTTTCTTTTAAATTTTCATTCAATATTTCCGGAAAAAAATGGAATGCATGTGATATCTTTAAAGCATTGGAATTATTTCAATTTATTTACATTATTCGAACTATTTTCCTCATCTTTGTCGCCATATTTATTACAACGAAGATCTAACTAACGCCGTTATCCACTGTGTCATGTGTCCTCAAGAACACATGACACAATGGATAAAGGCATTAGTTAGATCCAGTGACAGGACCCAAAGACTGTGAGTTCAATACCTGGCTAAGGCAGTGGAGAACTTTCAGAGGGAAATTAACAGAAGATAACTGATAACCAACATCCATTAAACATGGCACGTGGAACTAGAACAGTCTACCCCAGTGAGCAAAATAAAGGGTTCAGTTCGACATTCCAACCACCTGAAGAAGGCCAGAGCATACAACGGCCGAAACGTTGTAATAAATATGGCGACAAAGATGAGGACAATATTCTGAATAAAGTAAATAATGTACATACCTCAATTCAGAAATATAGACAGATTCAATTTATTTATCTATCTATTTTATAATAAGTAACAATTTTATATCCATATTAAACCTAGACCTATGATAAGATAAAAAAAAAAAACAATTGGTTCACTCTTAATTTTTTTTTCAGACATGAAAAATCGAAATCAAAGAACTGAAGCCAAAGTCTGGACTTCTCACATAGGTATGAAAAAAATTCATTTTATCCAACCCAACATCAATCCCTTTAAAAATGTTCAAATTTTTTCGCACCTTTTGCTCATGTCTTGTAAGTGGGGTTCATCCCCACCAGCTGACAAATTTTTTTATTGCTGTCTGGCTTTGAGCCAGCCATATCAAAGACAAATTGGTTTCATTTGAACCCTGTCTTCTTCCTTGTCAATGCCTTGTTTGCATGTCTGCCTAAATAGTGTTCTCTTATTTTTATTCTGTCAGTCTTAATTTAGCCTCACACTGATCAGAGGCCATCATAAAAAGTTTTATTTTTTCTCAAGAACATACATTATTATCAAATCCACTAGATGACAGTAGAAAATGGTAAATGTTTAATATCATGTCTTTAAACACTTACATTATTAAAACAGAATCTCTTTGCTGATTACAAGAATTCTCTTCATCTCTTTTTTTCCTTTTGGCTGAAATGAAATGTACCTCCTCTGAAATTGTAAATACCTTTATATAACAATGAACACGTGCAGAATTATTTAAATATTTATCACCTGACTGAATAGATATTATTTTATTAACAAATACATTTTTAAAATTTCTTGAAGGATTTTCTAACCTTACCAAGAAAGGATATATAAAAAAGAAAAAAGTCTATTTTGTCAGATCTCATCATCTTATTAAATAAGTTTGTTTTTTTTTAAAAAAAAAAAAAAGAATGTAAAATTTTAAAAAATAAGCAAATACTACTATTGAGCTTATTTTAAAGGTACTTCATAAAACACTTATGAAATTTATATTTTTAATAACTGTTTATTTTTAATTTTTTACTATAATCTTCAGTTTTATAGTTGCTAAATATTGATAATGATGATGATGGCCACTTGTATCTGAGTATGCCTGTCTGCTAGGATGGCTAGCCAATCCCTGTTGCAGACATCTGTTCAGGTATATTTGTGTTTGCTCAACAGTCACAGAGCCCACCTTAGTTAAAGCAGAAGTTTCTGGGAGTGAGCACATCATTGGCATGATCAACAGTTTGAACACTCAAAATCTCAGTCATGATGACTTGTGACTTTGTGCTAGCACAACCATCAACAGCTTCCAAACAATTCCATCTCCCCAATTTCACACACAAAGCTTAGGTCAACCCATGGTTTGGTTTTCAGGCATTTCTCAATAGTGTTGCATGCTGGGATCACTTCACTATCAAGAAGTCACCTTCCTGACAAATCAAGGTGAGATTCAAATGCATGTCTCATGGTCAGAAAGCAAACATTCTAATCACTCAGCCATGTATCTGTATATAATAATGTTCTACAATAAGGCAAAAAATAAGTCTATGAAACATGCATCCTCTGTAAAAATTATTATAACAATCAAATCCAAAACTTTATTCATTATACACTATATTAGAAGGTTAAACTGTCTAATCTTTATATTAGAATATCATGTTGATCACTTTTTAAACATTTTCGCTGTATTCATTTTCATAACAGACTTCACTTAATGAGACTGTGATATCAGAAAACCTACAGAACCTAACACAAAGGGAACTACTTACGTATCAGACTTCAAACCGAGATACTGTTACTAAAAGATAACATGTTCAAGACATTTTATCATCCAAATTCAGACAAATCCATTGTATCTGAGAAATTCTTAATACTAATTCTGTAATTACTTGTCAAAAATCAGTTTCTTTTTTATTTCCACCTTAATGTTGATATGCAGTATTTCCTGCCACTAATGAAAATGCCAATTGGATATTTGTTTTTGTCTTTTTAATTGTATGCTATTAATTTTAAATACTGCAAAATACTTATTCATAGTCATAAAAACAACCCCCTTTGAATTTCAGAAAAATTATATGAAGCCTGTTCACTTGTTTTACTAGTTTTCTCATAAAGACAACATCAGTCAGTTATGTACCATGCGTGATACATGCTTAGGCAATCATGTATCTTTCGATACATGACTGACGAGGCAGATTTTTCCCCGCAGTAGGTTGCCATTTCTTTCTGTGGTAGACCAGTTGCCAGCCAAGGCTATAGAACCCAGTCTGACCTACTATTTACCCATAGCTGAAGGGAGAAGAAGATTCATACTTTTCCCAAGGGTATTAGCATTTAAGTGAATATAATGGATTTGACTGGAATTTGAACTCGGTTCTCCGATTCCTCAATCCAAGCTGCTATCTATTACTCCACTGTACCTTCCAAAAAGACAACATAATGGCATTATTGAAGTCATTTTGAAATTTAAATTAGTTATATTTTTTGCTTGAGTAATCTATGATTTTCATTTATAGATTTAGCTATGAATTCTGTTTATTAAATCATTAAAAGTAAAAATATCCAAAGAAACAAGAAATAAAAAGTGACATTAAGTGCCTATCCTAAGACTTATTAATAAGATTTTATTATTGTGGTAATATCACATTATCAAGAAGTGGAGATCAGGCCACATGACTGATATATAAATAATCCAATAAATAATAATGTGCTTTATTTTATAGAATATATTACAAGTTTTATGCCTTCTTATCGATGATACTTTTTGATTAAATGGTCACTTTTTGATACTAGTTTTATTATTGTTATTTTTTATCAACTTGTGGAGCAAACTAGTAATAAAAAAATAGTGAAAATACTTCAAGCAAAAAAAAATAAAATTGAATAAAACTAGTAATAATCTCAATCCTAATCTGATAAATTTGACTAACAGCATTCTAATGTTAACATCAAGTATGATTTACACTTGGTAGTAGAAGAAAAATATTTTTCTGTGATTATCTATATAAATAAAGATTAACGTCTGTCTGTGTGTCAGTGTGCCTATCTGTCTATCTATAGGAGAAAAACTACTTCACCGATTTTCATTAAATTTGAAACATAGATAGTAGACATAAAAGAGAGTGTAATGAGCTATGTTAGATTTATTTTTGAGGGGAGCAAAGGGGGAAAACCCCACCTCACTCTTAAAAATAACTGTACCCATGGATTCAAAAACTACTGGACAGATTTTTATGAAATTCAGAACATAGATTTCTGGCATGAGAGTAGATGTAATATGCTATGTATATAGTATTTTGATCAAAGGAGGTCAGTTTACAACCCTACCCCTCAAATTTTTTCCCTTCGATTTAAATGAAATTTAAACTTGGATAAATGACCTGAAATGATGCCTATTCCCAAAATATCAGCCAATTTCAATAATATCAAGACACCCTAATGTGGGCTATACCCCCTCCCCCCACACACACCTATATTGAAAATTTTGGAAGCTGATAACTTGAGTAGTTGGACCTCTATTATCACAAGTTTTTTTACCTTAGTGCTATATGTTTTAGTCACCTTGATATGTTTTGAAGCCAATTCCCAAAGTACTTATATAGAGTCCGAAGGGGTAGAGTGGAGTGCTTAGCCCTCTAAAAATCTAAACAACACAACCATGGATAGATTCTTATCAAATATGAAAGAGATTCTAAGTATGACACCTGATGACATAGACTATATATATCTAACTTATTTTTAAAAAAGTGAGGTCCCAGAGGCATACTAATCTCCACCTCAAAAAAATTATTTAAATGAAGTTTAAACTATACCATCTTTTTACATTCATTTCATTTTTACATCCGAACATTTGGTTGAGACCACAAATTTAGTTTCCTATAACCTACACTATAGCTACTGTTTCAATCTTATATAATGATCCAATTAATATGGATCCTAGAGTTGTTTTCCATAATTTTTGTCTCTTTTGGACTAAGGAGGCATCACTTGAACATATAAAATAACTACATTTTCATCAATAGGCAACTTTACAATTTATTTGAATTCTTGATAAAGTTGTTTATCCTATAATGACCAAACCTAAATGGCTCTATATCTTTCAGATGTCTGTTCTGCCAGCTGACTATTGCAAATAATAATTAGGCTACACCCTTACTACAATGCCTCCCAAAAAGTTTCATTTTGGACAACCTAAGCAATCCAAGTGGAGGAAAAGAGAAAAATCAGAAGAAACTGAAGATCAGCTGAACTAGAGGAGGAGGAGAGAAGACACAGAAAGGCATGCAACTTCATGAGTGTCACAAAGTCAAGAACAAGAGGATCTAAGATGAAGATTAGATGCTCATCAGACTGCAGCAGCAAAACTGTCTGAAACTAAAAAAGCTGGCAGAAGACAGATTAGATGCTCAACAGAGTGCAGCAGGAAGACAATCTGAAAATCAAGAAGAAGCTGGCAAAAGACATACATTAGATGCTCAATGGGCTGCAGCAGCAAGACAGTCTGAAAATCAAGAAGAAGCTGGCAAAAGACATACATTAGATGCTCAATGGGCTGCAGCAGCAAGACAGTCTGAAAATCAAGAATAAGCTGGCAAAGGATATATATTAAATGCTCAACAGACTGCAGAAGTTAGACAATCTGAAACTCCAGAAGAGAGAGAAGACTCAGAATGAATACTCTATGAAATGCAGCAACCAAGCAACTGGATATATTATACTAAAAATAAACATTACTATAATGGTATATTTTTTTTATTATTGATGTTTGTTATAATACTTAAATACATAGTGTAATATGCATATGTTTATAGTTTTCCTCAATCTTTTATTTAGTTATATATGTGATGACTGCTTCATTTATAGACCAAAATATAGAGATCACAGATCAGAAGGTTATATGTAACCATGATGATAATGGCCTGGAGGAAGCACTTCTTTGTTCTACATGAAAACTGGCAGTCCTTTTTATTGCATTACTTGGATGGATATAGCTGTATCACCTACATAAATGTTAACAGCCATTTATTATATGTTCAATACTCTCTAATCAATATCTTTCAAAAACAGTATAATTTTGGCAGCTTCTTCCAAATCCAGTCAACAACAGGTATTTCTGCTAGTTTTAAACATAAGAGTATATATTAAGAAATGGACAAAGTCCGACAATTTATTTATTAAAGACATTTTTATGTTTAACGTTCTTTTTTATAGATACAAGTATTTAAGTAAATGCTCTGTTTATAATAAACAGTATTAAATAACATTTACCGGCCTGAATGTCCGAAAATTTTCATAGAAAATATTTGTCTTTGACAGGATTCAACCTGCATCCTATACAGAACCGTCATTTACGGCTGACGTGCCTTACCGTCTCGCCACAAAGGAGCTGCTCGTAGGCAAGGTTGAATTTACTGCTTATAAACTTCAATCTTCCATGAATCTCGTACATTCATAACTGTTTGGGCGTATCAAATGTAAACAAATGACGTCATATATTAAGAAATGGACAAAGTCCGACAACTTATTTATTAACGCTCCTTTGTGGCGAGTAGACGTAAAAGGCACGTCAGCGTAAATGACGGTTCCATTATAGGATGCAGGTTCGAATCCTGTCAAAGGACGAATATTTTCTATGAAAATTTCTCGACATTCAGGCGGTAAATGTTATTTAATACTGTTTATTATAAACAGAGCATTTACTTAAATACTTGTATCTATAAAAAAGAACGTTAAACATAAAAATGTCTTTAATAAATAAGAGTATATGATTAACACTCTTGAAATTATCCAAGTCATTTCCTAAAACACTAGTAATGTTAATAGTTAACACTGTTTTTATTACTTCAGTGAAATATTTTGTAAAATACAGCACAAGCCGAATGTATTTATAGAAAGAGAGAAGAACTATTGGATTTCTACATCTGATCACAAAATATGTGGCCTGTATTAATTATTCATATTTTCACCAAAAGTATTTCTCATGTGTAATATTAACTGCATGACATCCAAAATTACTATGAAAATAAAATTCAACTTACACAAAATATTTTATTGTTTTTCAGCAGAACTACAAGAGCAGTGGTACCAGCAAGCTCATCCTTCATGGCTTCATCTAAAACAAAAATGAAAATGTCAAATGTATAGCTTGCAAAGAAAATACTTTTTTAATCTTCAGGAAGCATAATAACACTTAATAGTCATAAAATAGTCAATTATACCAACTTGACACTATGCACTTTACAAAACTGTCTCCTGCCAGAAGGAGATTTTCTGTTGTAGAATACAAGAACATGTTTACCAATACAAGATGGAATTGCAAAAATTTACTACTCAATGATAGTTACAATTAATAATAAACAAAAAAACAGCTTTGGTGTTTTTATCAGTCAAAAACAATACAGTTGCAATACAATCTATCATGTACAAAATACAAAATGTGTAGGAAGGTAATTGCAATAGTTTACAGCTTACTCTAATTTATATCTAATTCATAACATATATTTATTAATAACATCTAATGGTACTGAACTGAGAATGCCAAATACAAACCTTTCTGCATTTCAGTGTCCAAATGCAAAAATCCTTGTCGTAATGCCTCAGCAATATTTCCTCGACCTAAAATTAAAATCCAGATAATGAAAATATTTTTGAAAAAGAGAATCACCTTCATATGAAATATTATAGAATATCAAAATTTGACATTAGCCATTAATGCCATTCATTAAAAAACAGGAGTTTGCATAATGGAACACTTTTTCTTGTACATAGTTAAAGATATTCACAAAAGCCCTAATCCCAATACTTTGCAAGATGTAGTTAGGTCAGTGAATGGTAAGGATTGATTATAAGTTGGATCAGATTCCAAGACAAATTGTCAGGTCAGTTAAAAGTAACCTTCTCAGCAAATGAATAACAAGGTAGAAATAACTTATTAGTAAGATGTTTTGTTCAAAGACAGAACTCAATGGCTTTATTGGTAGACTCAACTGCTACCTACAACTTCACATGATTTCACTGATTTTATTCAAACCATGTTTCCTAATACTGAAAACTGTATGCAAGTAAACAAAGACAAATATTTGGTAATAAAATAATTCTTCATTATATATACAAAGCTTATGAATATCAAACATTTTTCTACTTATACTTCTACATTATATTTTATAAAATAATTTTAAAAATATAATCCAAGCACCTGATAATTCTCATACAAGTGTTTGAAAAATGTTTTTTCAGAGGCCAATTTTTTAAGCAAGCTTTTGCCACTATAGCAATATTTCAGACTTTTTCTCGTGCATAATCAAATTTAAGATAAATTACTATTTAAAAAAAACTTGACATATTAAAAATTATCTTTTACAGAACACAGTTTGTTAATGATAATTGAAAAAATCTCAGATCTTTCTTGAGTAAAATGTGACTATCTTCAGGTAATACCTAAATTATACCCATAACTACAAGTACAAGAATCAAGTATTTATCTTTATAAATAAAAAATGACATGTTCTTATGGTAGCATAACAGGTAACATTTCAGTTGAGGATGAATGGGATTCAACTGCATTATCAGACTTCACTTTTAATCTGTACATGCAATGATCAGTTAGGAATTTAAATTTTTTTTTTCTTGTTTTTCTTCTACAGCATATTTAGTATCTTGCTATATTAAGGATGTGCTTATCAAATAGGATAATCAATATCTATCAACAGAGAGGATGACAAAGATCACATCTACTGCAGTTTTAAGAGACAAATACACAATCAGATTTTATTATGTAAATAAATGTTTTCACATTAAAATTGGTATTAATCTGCTGATGTTTGTAAAATTTTCAAGTGCAAAATATTGTGAATTTCTGCTTACCCATCCTTATTAAAAAATATTGATCATAACTTGTTTTGGGGATGTCACAAATTATTATGTGAACAAACTTATTGTTGAGAAATCATTTTCATCTACTTCTTCACTCAATTTACATATATTCTCTTTATGTTGTTTACTTAAAGGTGGTAGTCAAGAGTATTATTATTCTGCATCTTTTCTTCATTTACATTCACTAACACAAGCTTCTTCAAATACTTTCTTTTTACCCTCCTCTTAATTTTTTCAAATCTCTTTCTTTTCTCTTTTTTTTTTTTTTTTTTTTTTATAGAATTATTAAAGCCAGTTTTTTCTTGTGCTTATATGGCTAATGTTTTCAATTTCTTTTTTGATTGTTCTGCAATGTCTATTCAACTTTTTCACAATTACCAATGTTGTGTTTCAGTCACATAATAACTTTAAAATATCTTGTTTCTCTTTTGAACTTATATCTTTCTTACAACCTGGACCAACCTTTACATATCTGGAATAAAAAAAAATAAATAACCATCAATAACACTACTATTATATATATTTATTTTCAATATGTTGAATAGGTCTGGAGTTGAATAATAAAATTTTACCAAATAAGTTTATTTCTAATGAAAATAGTTATTAGAAACTAAAATTCACATGATTTATATAAATATATGTACTGAAAATTTTACCAACATTATAAAAACATTGACTAGCATAAGATTGAGTTGAAACAAAAGTTCAAAGGATTTTTAAAGGAATTCCAAAGACAATATTTAGATATTTGTATATAGATTTATTCAACCACATATGTACCAATTTGTTTTACTAGCTTTCTTTTTTTTTTGAAGCAGCTTCATGATTCCATCCACCTAGAACTTGGCAACTTTATGGCTGATGAACTGATCTAAGTGGTTTTTACTGGCTTACAGAGAATTTAAATTATTCCTATTAAGAAAATTTTGTAAAGATTGAAATAAGAGATAATCCAAAGGTGTAAGATCAGGTGAGTATGATAGGTGTAATAGGACATCCAGGCCAAGCTGTACTACTTTTTGCTGGGTCTTCAAAGAAACATGAGCTCTGGTGTTGTCCTGATGAAAGACAACACCAATTCCAGACACTTCTCCTTAGTTGCTGTCTTTAATTGGTCCAACTGAAAACGGTAGTTGTCTGAATTCAACATTTGGTTTTGCAAACGGAGCTCATAATACACACCACCCCCACCAGGTACACAATATCACCTTCTTCGGATGCAGAACAGCTATTCATTTTCTCAGAATCCCCTTACATTCCATATTGTGTCCCATTTTTTATTGCATGTGATCATTCTTTTTAAAAATGGGTCACTTTTGTTGCATTTGAGCAGAGAATTGCAGATGAAAATGCACTCCATTAAATTTTCTTTGTTAATTCATGAGGTACACAAACATCATAGTAATCCAGCTATCCAAATGTTTTCAAATACCTTACAACACTCATATGAGTTATATGGAGCTTCTTTGCCATATCCCATGTCATGTGACCTAGATTATTTTTAATCAGTATTTTGATTTGGCCATCATCAATTACAAGCTTGCCAGAATATTCTCAGTTTTCCAGATCCAAATTTCCACTTCTGAATGACATATTCTTATAATTTTATTCACTTATGAACAGCTATGGCACAATCTCCATAAATGGCACATACCTTTGTTTGCTGTTTGCACATCTTTTTACCTTTCCAGAAATAAAAGAGCATCAACTGACAATGCATCTCATTTTCCTCCATTTTCACTTTTAATATAAATACCTTTAAAATTCACAATCTATACATGAATTATATAGAAAGACACATTAAAATGTCACCTTCCAGAATATGTATGTCAAATTTCAGTCATGTGTGAAAGGAAATCATGCATTCAAATGCCACCTATTGAAAAATAATAAAAACTTTTGTTCCAACACAATACAATAGGACATTAATATATAGTGAAGACATTCCATCTCCCCTTAACATAGGCAGTAGATGATTCTATTATATTTTTTTTTACAGTGTTTACATGAAATGACTTCTTCAGAGAAGACTGACCTTTGTAAAACAGGCTTACATGTTAAGTCAATCTCTCAGGAAGTAATCAACAGTTTTATACCAACTTTAAACTGGATGTTATACTAGTCATAAAGATATAAAGACTAGAAAAGTAAAACTTTAAAAAATTACGGAAATCAAAGATTGCTGACTCTTCTGTTCTGCCTATCATTTTTCATTTGCCATTTTCAAAACAATAGAGTAGAGAATGAAATAAATCTTTCTAAAATCAACCACAAGCTATTAACAAATTTTATACAGTTAAAAATAAATCAAAAGCAATGTTCGAGAATTAGAGAATGGAACTGCAAAACAGGAATATTATTTCAATAACCAAAAGACCCATACACATTCTGATAGATATGCATGAAACCTTTTCTTTCTGATGAGATATTTGAATTGAGAGAATAACACTAGGAAAAAGAAATGGGGCTAAAAATGGAGACAAGAGAGAAGTCAGAGAAAAAGAAAGAGAAGAAATGAGACAAAGAAAGGGGGAATAAGAGAAAGAAAGGAGGAAGATTAGTAATTGGGGACAGTAAGACAAAAATGACAATGTTAAGAAGGTGGTATTTGGATTCAAAGAATATGTTTGTATTTTATTCTTATTGATATTTTCATGAATAAACTGAATGAAGTGATACCAGATCAAAACAAAAGGAAATTAAATAAAACTTTTCCTTTATATCTGACATGTTGCAATTGAACATTTTTCTGGGTTTTTCCTCTACTTATGGTTATATTTACTTGAACAATATTTCATATACTTTCACACCTACATTTGTCATTTAGATTCTGATGGTTACTGAGTGTAAAGCTATACAAATTAATATTATTAATCATATATATATATATATATATATATATATATTAGTAATATTATTAATGCTATCACTGAGTGATGTCTAGGAAAGACAATTTTTGCAATTTGGGCCAAGTAGATTGCATGGAGAATGATCTTATCAAAACAGTTATCTATAGCCACATCAAATGTGTTACCAATAGGAAGAATTTAACTGTAAATCTAATATGCATGAAATAAAGTAGTAACACAATTAGAAACATCTTTAAACATCTTCCCTAGTACCATGAGGATATCAAATTGAAGCTTTAAACAACAAATCCTCCTCTTATATATATATATATATATATATATATATATATATATATTAATATTTGAAATGATTGACCCACATGGATTTATGTGTACAAAAAGATAAATAGAAATTATTTCTTGTTTCTTTGGTTTTACTTACTGTAATATTCATTATTTACTATTCTTTTGTGCAAATTATTCCCAGCATATTGTGCAACTTTGGCTCCTGTAAATAGAGGAAGAAAAAATATTTAAAAAGTACTGTAAAATTTCATGAAAAATACACCAAAAAATTGACATAAATTAAAAAAAAAAAAAGAAAAGGAAAAACTGAAAATCATATTGATTAATTTAGAAAAAAAAATGTCATTAAATGCAATTTATGTTTTAATGTCAAAGTAAATATGATACTGTGAAATAAATCAATAACTTATATTAATATTAGTCACTGTCATTTTGGTAGAGGAAAGCAAGGCATTAAGATGAGACAAACAGGAAAATTTATTCTTAGAGTTTATTATATATCAGCTATGATTTAGCTACCATATATACTTTTGTATTTATCTATATTGTTGTGTCACTATTTAGAATCTTATGCTTTCAGTGTATTTTCGATATATACTAAATTATGTCAAATTTTATTATGCAGATTAATAATTTCAAAATAAAATTGATATTAATCAATAATGTTGGTAAAATTTTCAGCATATAAGCAATATATCATGCAAGTTTCAGCTTTTATATTTATTCTTATAAAAAATATTGATCAGAAATTGTTTTGTGGGATGCCAGACATTTTTTACTTATAAATAAATCCAAAATTTATAACCTCTAGAAACATATGATTAGCACAATATCCCATATACCTCAATAAATTTTACATGATATTCTGTAACTGGTATGACAGGTATTCTCTCTGACAGATATAGTCTTGTCAAGAGAAGATAACTCTCTCATACATATAGCATTACTGCCTTTTATACAGCACCTCATTTACAGTTGATCTTTGACTTCTACAAACAACCCTGGGAAACATAATCCGTCTCTCTGAGTGAGTCTCTTTATTTCATTTTATAGGAGATACTCCTGATTTAAATCATCATATCTCTGGTCACTCTCATCCCCAGATTGTTCCTCATTACTACTGGATACACTCATTCTCTCCTCCCTCTCCTGTTTTTTAATTTTTTTATCTCTGGTGGTCTTCCTGATCACTCTCAATACTGAATTCATTCCTCCTTTCTTGTGCCATCTGTTCTTCTGCTTCCTCTCCATTTTCCATAACTTCATGCTCTCTTGTGGTTCTAAATTAGTCTTCATGAACCAATATACCCTGTCCCTTCTTTGTTAATACAACATCCCTCTAGCACCACAAAATTTGCCTTTTCAAGACATTGAATCCTCATCCTTCTTGTACCATACACTTTCATTCATTGCAAATGATATGGTAATCAGAGCTCTTATTTGTCTTCCCATCAATGCAGATGAGGTTTTTCTTCTGCCTGCATGTGGAATAGCTCTGTAACTTAGGAGTAGTCTGGGTAAATAACTCTCTCTCTCAATCACAATCCACTGGAGAGAATGCTTTTAATCTCATTTTTACCATTTGAACCATTCTATCCACAATTCAATTTGACTGTGGGTGGTAAGGTGGTGTTTTGTATGGAATGCAGCCAATACGTGTTAACCATGCATATAAACTTTCTTCACAAAACTCAGGTGCATTGTCAGAGACCAAAGTTTTTGAAACTCCATTTCTCAAGAACACTATCCTCAACACCAGCTTCACGGTAGTGGCTTTTCTATCTGCAACTTTAATAAATTCAGGACAACCTGAATACAAGTCAACTAATATCAGAAATGGTCCTATAACTTTAATGTAGGCATGATTCTTATGTACTTGTGTCCACACCTCCATTTCCTTTGGCCATGAGTGAATTTTAGTTTGCCTAAATTTATTTATTTATGCACACTTTGGGTATTTTTTAGCATACTCTTCCATATCTATTGAATAGCTTGGTCACCATGATTGCAACTTTAACCTAATTTGCAGAGCCAATATGACTCCATGTATATCATTGTGCATGGCTTTAATTACTTCTTTTCTCAGAGACTGTGAAGATACTATGATATCTCCATTACATATAATTCCTTTTTCTATTGTTAATTTGTGTCTTGACTCTTTATAAGGCCTCTCAACCATAGAGCAATTACTCCATGTATTTCTCTTTATTCTATCTATAATTCTATTCAACACTGGATACTGCCTCGTTCCCAACCTAAGCTGATTTGTGGGTAATACATCTGTTTCTATCCAGTGCAAAATACTATCCTCACAATTTTCACTTGCTTCAACATTTTTACTCTCAAAATTTAACTGAGATGATGCATCCAAATGCAGAATAGTATTTCCTTTAATATATGCAATGTTAAAGTCAAATGCCATAAGCTTAATCGCCCATCTTAATATCCTGGCAAATGTGACCTTTGGCAACTCTCTTCTGGGATTGAATATAAATTCCAAAGGCTCATGATCAGATCTTAATAGAAATTTCCTTCCCAGCAAAAAATTTTTAGCTCTTTCCATGCTCCATGCAATTATCAATGTCTCCTCCTCAATATTCAAATAATTCGCCTCCACCGATGTTAGTTTTCTGGATAAGTACATTACAGGGTAATCCTCCTATGACAATATTGTGACTATAGCACAGTCACTGGCATCAGTAGTTAATGTCAATTCTTTCACAGGGTTGAAAGTTTTAACAATGGGTTTGTTTAGGAGTACTTTTTTTAATTTTTTGAAAACAACCTCCTGTCTTTTTGTTGATTAAAACTTGGTATTCTTCTTCCTTATTTTGTTAAATGGTTCCACAAGGTCACTATATTACGGTAGATATCTGTTATAGAAATTGGTTAATCCTAAAAGAGATTCTCTTTTTTATTTCTGGGTGCAACTATCTCCAATATATTATTAATTAAAACAATTAAACTCACATTTATCGCAATTGTCATATCCATGCTATTTAATTTTCTCAAAATTTGCTCCATTTTACTTTTGAGCTCTTCTTTAATGCATGCACCAATGCCAATGTCTTCCTGATATACAATTATATTTTTAATCCCCTTTAAAACTTTTTCGGTGGCTTTTTGGAAAATGTAACTTGACATTTTTATTCCAAATGGCAGATGAGTCCATTTTATTAATCCAATAGGGGTGTTCATTTTGGTGACTTCTTGAAACTTGCTATAAATTTTTATCTGATTATATGCTGACTCAAGGTCAACTTTGACAAAGTATTTCATACTAGTAAACTCATGAGACACTGTTTCAATGTTTGGCAATGGGAATGAATCTGAACATATCTGGTGATTAATGTCGACCTTATAACCGCCACAAATTCTTAAATCTCCATTGAGCTTGAATATCGCCACAATGGGTGAAGCCCAATTTCTACTACCATGGCTGACTTTTTCTAATATTCCTTGTTCCACCATTTTGTTTAGCTTAGCAACCACCAAGAGTAGCATGTGAACAGGAACTTTTCAGACTTGAAAATACATGGGTTGATTGCTTTCTTTAAGCCAAATACTCACCTTATATACCCTTAATAATCCAACAGCTTCAATGTATCCACTCTTAACACGTCAATTCCTAAAAACTGTGTCTTTTGATATTTTCCACCATTGTGACGGGTATTATCTTGAATCTATTTTTTGTCTCAAACATTCCTTCAAAGCATCCATAATTTTTATGACTGACCCATCAAACTGTTTCAACTGGAGATTACTTTTCTTTAACCTATGTCTACCCATTCTTTTCCAAAAATTCCTAGGTATCAACATAACATCACTTGCAGTATCCACCTGTATGAGTTAAGTTACTTTGTTCAACTTCACCATTTCTGAGCTTTTATCTCAAATACTTCTGTACTTTCAACTGAAGGCTCTATACTTTCCACTCACTTTTCATATGTGCATACAGTCTGAAAATGTTTCCTCTTTTTACACTTAAAACACCATTTCCCAGAGGCCAAACACTTATTTTTGCTCTTTTCATGTTCCTTATTGCATGCAATATCTGCATACAATTAAACTTTTAGTAGCACTCTAATTCTCTATGCTGCCTTCAGAGGCATTAAATTTTTGAATCAATTCCAATTGTTGTAAGAACTCCATACATGGTTTCAGATTCATATGATGAGTTTGAAGCCACTCTAGAATTTTACACTTGTACAAGATGTCAAACATTCCTTCAATCAGTCTTAGCAAAATTAGCTTGTCTTCGATAGACATTTGTTCCAAGTCCATTCTTTCAAACTCACAATATCTCAATGCTTCTTTTAATCACTATACATATTGCATAATAGTTTCATCCAGTCTTTGTCTACTTTCAAGAAATTTAGTTATTTCTGCTACAACCAATCTCTTTTTTGATCATATATTTACTTTTATGATGGTAGCAATTTCTACATATGCTAAATCTTCCAACAACTTGCAATAGATCAAGGACGGAGATTTTTTTTATGGCCTCACACCCCACTGAGACCAAAAAAATCCCTAAGTTCATTTTCTTCACCACTAACTTTGGTGTCTTTTAACACTTTTTACTCTCACCAACACTGCAAAACACCTAAGTCAGGTTTCCACATAACCATGATGGAGGATCCTGAGTAAGTAACTGATCTGCAATGCCATATTGTTATGATAGGTATTCTTTGACAGGTGTAGTCTCATCAAAAGAAGATTACTCTCCCATAGGTATAGTGATATTGTCATTTATACAGTACCTCATTTATATATCCATCCTGTAACCTTCATCAATTTTTTTGTCCACTGAATTTGTTAATTTTCTACTGTTTCAACTTTTATTGCTTCTTAGCAAACATATTTGTTTGAATATCATTTTCCATTCATATATAAGTCACTTTTTAATGATGGACTACAAGTTTTCTATTGAATTATTATCTGAAAAGGTTTAAATTCATTCTATTTCTATTAATTAGGCATCTTTTAAACCTTTTTTAAAAGGCAAGATGGGCAATAATTAGCTTTGCAAAATGTAGAGGTACAGTGTCTTGTATGAATATAAATCTTTAGCTTCAAACTTTTTGGTTGTAACCTGTAACACTTTAAAAAACATATCATAAAATTTAGAATTCTCTATTATTGAACCATCATTAGCTTTTAAGGAACTTATAATTTTAATGCTTACAATACTAGTTTAAA